TCTGAACAGCAAGATTCAACACTGCCCCTGGAGAATATATATTTATATATTTTTTTACTTGAAGACTTTTGTCAAACGAACTTCTTTCTTGATTTGAAGGTAAGACATGGGAGGTGAACAGGAAAACAAAAAAAGGAAAGATCGGATCTCAGTGGGCTAAATTGGGCAAAAGGTATTTGTCTCTCAATGATAAATGTTAAATGATTTGGATTTCAAAAAAAAAAAAATGAAGAAGAATATAGGATAAACTTTTTTATTGGAAATGTGACAAAACCCTACGATGGAAGCTATGGAAATCCTGGCAAGTTCTGATTTGGGAAAAGAAGGCAACCATGATAGGTTGGTTTCTCTTTCCAAGGACCTTGGAATATTACCTGAGGTATGCTTTTTACCATTCTGTGGTTTTTGCGATTTGATCATTCATGATTCTTTGTTAAAGTCTGATGCATTTTAATTGTTCTATGGGTCTTTTCCTCTTTGTTTTTTTTTGTTTTTTTTTACTGCAATGAGAAAAGCCAAATAATGAGTTACCAGATTTTCTTGATATATTTATTTGAGATGTGTGTAATTGTTGCCAATGAGAAATTGATTGCTTTTGTTTTTTGTTTATTTCTCAAGAAATTGTGAGCAAACAAAATATATAGACATTTTAGAAGGGTATAAAGCCACGTATTATTGATATTTGTTTTGTTGCTTTTTTTTTTTTTCTTTTATCTAATTTTTCTTTATTGGCAGCTGAGAAGCAGTTTAAGGAATCTAAATTTTTATTTTTGGTTGAATGACTTGATTCAAGAACAACCACCATTATTGAAAAGAAAGCATCTTTCAGCAACAAGGGGATCAGCTCACTATAACTCCTTTGCGAGCTAGCAATAAAGTGGGTTGGTCTTGCATGTAGATGTCTTAGAAATGGAAAGCTATGCTATTAAAACTACTATTTTTTTTGGTTCCCCATCCGGTATCCGGGGCTTTGCCCCGACTACTCCGGACTCGACCAGCTGTGGCGCACCAGAATGGTGGGTGAGTCTCCCAACGAAGACTGTTGCGTACACAAGGTCTCGAACTCGAGACCTTGCTTAAGCTGGACGCTTGCCACTTGATCCAACCCCTCGTTGATATTAAAACTACTATTTGATAGCCAACTTTGGTTATTATTGCAATTGGGAAAACTGTGCTGTTAAAACTACTGTGTGTTTGTTAAGTTCCATGTTTAAGACATTTCAAGAATTTTTATTTTTGTGAAAGTTGAGATGTGATTGAGAGTTATTTTTTAATAGTAACAGTCAGGCATGAATTCGCATGATTCAGATTTTCACTGTGTTATGTTCATTTCTCTACAAATCCCTAATAATTGTGACCATGACAAAATATTCAAAGTTGGGCCACACACTACACCCCGCAGAGCGGGTGGTCCAGCTAGTGATAATAATAGAGAGTAGGGTTTGTTCTTGTTTCATTTCATTACATCATTATTATTATTAGTAATAAAAAT